TTCCAACAAGCGCCACGAATTAGAGAGCCACTGATGCCTAATGCCAGTCTTTGAAAATGTTTTATTTAGAAGCGTTTCTGCTCACCACACAGCCAGCCAAATCCCATCTGCCTGGGCTTTTCTAGACATTATAAAACACGGGGAGCAGAAGCACGGCTGCACGGGCAGCACGGTGACTGCTGCACCCCTGTATCCGGGGAGGGGGGCTCATCCAGGGGCTGGGATGGGGCAGGTCCAGCGGAGAACTGTGATGAAGGAGCACACAAAATTCCAAACTATGAGCCTGTGATATGTGGGCATCACCGCAGAGCCAGACTGTGTGGTGTCGGCCACCTGGCGAAGTCGGGTGAGAAATCCATGCATTTTACCAAAATCCACCAGGGCTTTAGTGCCAGCAGAGCTATGGTTGGATGTGGGTGTAGGAGAGATGCTCCCTCCTCAAGCAAAGAGCATCATCTTAGCATAACTTTTAGCCACGGGAAGTGACACATGGGTGCGAGTTAGACTTGTCTAAAAAATATATTCACAAATAAATGCCCTCAAGTTCAGGAGTATTCATGGCCCTAACAGGGACAGTTCTGCACAATCATGTAGAGATGCAGAGGAGCTCAGCTTCAAGCTGAAGAAAGCCAGGGATGACGTGACCAGGGATAAATATCATTTTCCTGGTTTGGGTATGTTTTTAAGCCTTCTTTCCAAAATGAGAGCACGAGGCCAGCAGTGAAGCTGAGCCCAGAGCTGGGAGTTAAAAAGAAGGAAAAAAAAAAAAAGAAAAAAAAAGAGAAAAAAAAACAAGGAAAGGTAAGAACTGACATTTCATACATAATCACAGAATGTTAGGAGTTGGAAGGGACCTCAAAAGATCATCTAGATTTTGGTTCTCACGTCACACTTGTGACACCACCACAGTCGCACAGGACCCAAGTGGGAGTGAGGAGAGGGTCAGGGCTGTGTCCCAGTCCTGCCGCTCAGCTCTGGTGCAGCAGCAAGGCTTTGAAACATACCAATTTCTTGAAAGCAGGCGAGCACAGGGCACCCACAGGACAAACTCATTGCACGCTACAGCTTATAAAGAAAAGCTGCGTTTCTGGATGCGGCTGCTCAGACAGCTCAGCCACAGGACTGCCGAGTCCTCACGATGAGAGCGGAACTGCAGGCAGAATGTGCCATCTAGCTTCTACACCCAGACATGAGCTGCTGCGATGGGTTTTTTCACACACACCACTCAGCCCTACACGCTCTCTGGCAATGGCAGAAACCTCGCAGCTCTGAGCTGGAAATCCATCCTCTGCCACAAGCCTTTCCCCAGCACAGACCAGGGGGAGGGTGGATGAAGAACCTGGGTAAGAATCATGGAATGGTTTGTGCTGGAAGGGATCTTTAAAGGTCATAAAATCCAGCCCTGCTGTAGGGAGCAGAGACATCTTCATCTAGATAGGGTTGCTCAGAGCCCCCATCCAACCCAATCCTTGGATATTTCCAGGGATGGGGCTTCCACCACCTCTCTGGGTAACCCCTGCCAGTGTGTCAGCACTCTCAGCATAAAAAATTTATTCCTTGTATCTAGTCTAAATCTGTCCTCTTTTAGTTTAATACCATTATCCCTTGTCCTATCACAACAGCCCCTGCTAAAAAGACTCTCCCCCATCTTTCTTACAAGCCCCTTTATGTACTGGGAGGCCAATATAAGATCTCCCTGGAGCTTTCTCTTCTCCAGGCTGAACAACCTCAACTCTCTCAGCCTGTCCTTGTAGCAGAGGTGTTCTATCCCTCTGATCATTTTTGTTCGCCTCCTCAGGACCCTGTTCAACAGGTCCATGTCCTTCAAGCATCGACCCTGCCCAGTGTCACTCCCACAGAAAGCCTGCTCAGTGTTACACCTGAGCATCACCAAGTGTCACCACTGGTGATCTGCAGAGCTGGCACGGGGTGACCTGCTGGCCTGTTGCAGAGGAACGTATCCACAGCACCTTCATGTGAGCGGTAACTGGACTTCATCCCATGTCTGGACCAGACACCCTTTGTATCTCTTCTGGTTGACTCTCATGCCACCTAACTGGCATCTGTCAGACACAAGAGCCCAGGGCACTCAGAAAACTGGGTTTGGAGTCGCAGCTCTTACCCTACGCCTGCTCAGACCAACTACAGCCAAACACCCCATTTCTGCACAAACCTTGAGGGTCCCTTTCCCTCAGCTTGGGGTTGGAGTGATGAACTGCTCCGAGCATCACCTGCAGCCGACAGGTGCTGGATCAGCCCCTGAAGCCACGCCAGGTGGAGCTTGGTCCTTGCAGGAATTCAGTAACATCAATATTGGGAACATCCACATCCTCGGACAAGGTGCTGGCGCTCGCCTCAAGACGCTGTTAAGTAGGACAGCGTGAAGCTGGTCCCACAAGCCACTTGCTGCACCAAACCAGTTCTTGGCACGCAGGAGGGTCATCATGAGGCGCAGGCTCTCACAGCACCCACGCGGCGTCAGCTTACCTAAAGGAATGATGCTTCTTGAGGGTATTTTTTTTCCCCCCCCATCTCAACATGTCAAACGCTTCATTTTTCTAGCCTAAGGATGAGTTTAAAAGGCAGTGTTTTACCCAAATTCCTCCCGGAGCCTCTGACAACCACAGATTTTATCTGGTGCATAATCCAATGTGATTTAGTGGGTTTGGGTTTTTTTTCAACAGCTCAAATGCCCCCCAAACTCTATTTCAGCAATTAGAGGTTCATCTCTCCAAAAGCTCAAGCATCACTATCTTTTACTTGGCTCCAAATAGGCAACGTTATTTCCCTCCAGGAAACCATGTATTAGCTGTTAGCTCTTAATGCAAAGCCTTTGAAGAGTATTTTGATTTTGCCTGTTCTTCAGGGGAATCAGCAGCTCTTTATAAATCACTTGGCTTTCAAATAAGTTTGAGCGTCACATCTGGGCATCTTCAGAGTCTGTAACAGGCAGCTTTAGGAAGAAACAAAATGCAATTTCAATGAGCTCATAAAAGTCAAGGTTTTGGCACCCAATTCTCATTGCGTATTGGGCAATAAATACCCAGTTAAGGCAGTAATAAGGTAAAAAGGCATTACAGCATGTACTACACCCACCTGCCCACAAGGCTTAAAAGATGGGAGCAACAGAACAAAAAGAAGGCATTTACAAAATTACAAGGGGCAACTTGGGTATTTTGACACATGCAGAGTAATTCAAAAGCATATTTTAGCTTCCTTTTCAAACAGGAAGCTGCTTTTCTATTGCTATCCCTAAGGGTTTGGTGGTGGATGGTTTGAGGGTTTTTTTGTTGGAGCTTTCCTTCACACTGATAAACACAGATGCTCTGGCACTCGGCTCTCAGGACCAGATCCTCAGCAGATCAGAAGCAACCCTCCAAAGCTGGTTAGTTTACTCCTTTAAAAATCCCAAATCTGACTGTAACATGGGTTACAATAACACTTAAAGACAGACGACAACTTCTGCTCCAGTGAGTCCCACGAACCTAATAAACTCAGTAATGGGTTAGAAAAGCAATTAGCATTTTCTGATTTTTCAGAATCACGCTGGAGTGAAACAAATGCAGCCCAGGTTTCAACTCCATGAGCAGAAATTAAGGAAAAAAAAAAAAACAACACACACATCACCACCCAACCTAACTCCACCCTGCTTTTTTTCTTTTTAATTTTATGCAGCTCACCTTTACACTGAAGTTTCTAGCCAGGGATTTAACCACTTCCCATTCAAAGAGGACACAACCAAGTGTCCTCCAGCTGCAGCAAGGCTGATCCTTCCCCAACTCCACACCAGCTCCAGCCAAAACTTCACCAAGTGACCCCAAATCCCTGTGGGGCTGCCTTTGGCCACAGGAGCAGCCGAAAGGAGCTGCTCCCTCACAGCCACGCCGTGGGCCCTCAGCACTTGATGGTCTGTGTGACCTTTCGAGAACCAGTGTGTTGGGATGTAGAAACCCTGGCAAAAATCTCCTCATCCTCACATCACTGCCTCAAGGCAAAGGGAAAACTTCAGAGCAGGACAGCCCCATAAAGCTAACTTTTAATATTTGCCTCAGGCTTTAGCTATCAGTTTATTAGCTTATTTAGTATCCCCCAAGTTAGCTGTTCCTTCTCTGTAGCCAGCTTCCTACAAAGCCACAGCAGCCACTTACACCAACCACCACACATTTTCCCCCACAAGTAGGTATTAACCCAGCCAGCTGCTTTCACTCACATTTTCACACCTGCTTTGTGTTATTTAGCACGTATTTTTCTAAGGACAAAGAAAGGAGGGAGGCTTTACCACCACACAGAATAAATACTCCAACCACCAGGCCAGCATCTATATTTGTTCCCATTCCCTCACCTTGTTCAGTTTCATTTAATAATCAGTGCGACAGAAAAACAAAAAACAAAATCAAAAAAAAAGGCTATTAGGGATTCCTAAACTAGATGAAGAGAACTCAGCTGGAAGAGACCAGGCCCATTTGCCACGTCAGAAATGACCAAAGCATTCCTTTCACCAGTCCTCATAAAAAGCAGCCCAGCTTCAGCAGAGATGCTGCAAAACCAGCCTGAACAGCCAGACAGCACTCTGACACTCTTAATGCTCTTAGAGGGAGCTAGAAGACCCAAGTCTAGGCCTTTGGCACATCTGACAAACATTCCTTATGTCCCATCATAACAGAACCTTTCTGGAAACCTCAGAAAACACCAGATCAAAAGGAAGACGTGCGTGGAGCATCAAACCAGCATCCTGAGACTAAGTGGTTTGGTGGAAGAAAGCAAAGGAGACAGGCTCATTTAGGCCTGCCCCAGCAGAGCACTCCCCACCTCTGGATGGGCCACTGAGGGAGCAGAGAAGCTCTATGGTCACCGGAACCTTCACAAAAGGCAAATGCGCACACGTCAGTCGGGAAAAGAAGTTATTTATTGAGAAGGGCTGCACTGAAATGATGTGGATGTGTCAGGGAGGCCCAGAGAGGCCCCCTGAGCTTCCGATGACAGCCCCATCCTCCCGGCGCTCAGTCCAGCTGCAAGAGAGCGAGAAAGGCGAGAAGAGTCAGCGGGAAACGGCAAACCCAGCCCTCCCTCCACCGCCCCGGGGCCTGCGCTCACCTTAATGAAGCCGATGTCTTTGGCGTACTGGCGGAAGCACTGCCGGCACATGTTCAGGCCGTACTTGCGAATGAGGCCGTGGCGGTTGGAGCACACGCGGCTGTGAGGGAAGAACAGACCAAGGCCGGTCAGGCTGGGGAATGGCGGCGCGGAGCGGAAAGGAGAGACTGAGAGGGGCGGAGGGACCCCGACGACCACCCAGACGCCTCCCCGGGGACGCAGACTGACCAGGAGCGGGAGCCCTGACCGAACTTCCTGGGGTGGCTCCAGTAGAGCTGCTGATGGCCCATCCTGCCTCCTGCGCGCCGCGCTCAC